TGTACCGAGCGCAGCGTGATGTTGAGGCCGGGGATGGACACCAGGCAGGGCACCCACATGGAGTCCTTCCTGTTGACCAGGAGTGTGCCTGGCTTGTTGATGAATGGCTGCTCCAAGTCTGCAGAGAGGGAGCAGTTTGTGGGAAGGGCAGGTGGAGCTTGGGAGGTCTCTGCCCAGGTGGGGGGCACAATGGCAGTCCCACAAGGTCCGTAGGCCGGGGGGTGGGGGTGCCAGCTGCCCCCCCAGGACCTTGCCTACCACCTCGTTGGCTGCAGGAGCATGTGGGGCTGGGCCCCTCACCTCTTACGAATACATAGGTGCTGGCCAAGGTGGTGCCCTCGATGCGGGCCTTGATGTACTTGTAGTAGCAGCCATAGCTGCCCGTGTCGTTGGCATGGGCCTCGGGAAGCAGCAGCACCTTGCAGTAGGGCCTGGCATCTGTGCCTTCGCAGTCTCGAACAAGCCCCATGTCTTCGCTGTCCTTTCCCCCTGTGGCTGGCGCTTCCTGAGCCCCTGGCCAGGCCCACTGGAGGGGGTGCTGCCCCCTGGCAGAGGATGCAGAGGTCAAGAGGGGCCCCACTGCAGCCCCAAGGGCCACAGCTTGCCCAAAGCTTGTCTCACCCAGACGTCAGGACAGCCCAGTGCTAGGGCACACACCATGGACCCACAGTGGGGCACTGAGTCCCCGGGGCCTCTGCCTGGCGCCAGGGCCTCAGTGTGGCAGGCTGGCCCGCAGAGAAGCCTGGGCCTTGGTCATAGCTGAGCTGCAGGGAGAACATGCCTGGGGCCTTCGAAATAGGGTAACTGGCCTGGGCTGAACAGTGGCTGCAGAAGTGGATGCAGAGTGACCTAGGGGTGGGAATGGGGTGGCCTATGCTCAGTGTGGGGTGACCCAGGGGTGGGTGTAGGGTGACTGGTCTGTGGTCCATGCAAAGTGACCAGGGGTGGCTGTGGGGTAGGTGGGTGCAGGATGCCTGTGTCTGCAAGCTCCCAGACCCACGCGCCCGGGAGACCCTCTGAGCCTTGAGGCTTCTCTGCCCTGGAGAAGAGCAGCCTCCTGGGCTCTCGGTCACCATCTCCTGCCTCAGTTCTTAGTCTCCTTTGCCTGACAGACAGGAGGGACCCAGGCCCCTGCTCCTCTGGCAGGGGGCCGAGTACCTGCAGGAGATGGACAGGCTGTCACTGGAGTCAATGACGTGCGTCTCCTCCGTGATGTTCAGGGTCGGGGGGGTCATGGAGTAGCCACTCACCAGGCCTGGAGAAGACAGGGTTAGTGTGGCGCTGGGTCATGAGTTCACATGATAATGTCAGTCAGGTGCAGACGGCTCCCTAGGCAGGGGCTCTGGGCAGCATGGACAAGGCTGCTCCCAGCCCTCAGCTACTGGCTCGGCCCCACCCAAGTGAGCACTGATGGAGGCCTGGATTGAGCCCAGACCTCTGGCCCCATATGAGCAGAGCTGCCAGCACGGTGTTGGCTGGGGATGTTGCAAACCCCATCCTACATTGGGGGTGGCCTACATGCAGCGTGTCACCTCGGCCTTGTGACCCCCACATATCTGCCTGAAGGCCCCTCCTTTCTGCACTTCAGGCCCATAACCACTGCTTGCAAGGGGTTCCTGCACAGTGCAGACTGTCCCCAAGCATGCCCGGAACCGAGGGCCTCAGCTCCCCCAGGACCTCATACTCTGCCAGGCCCACGGAGTCTGACTCATGGTTCCTCAGCTCCCATAACTTCTGTCCACCCTCCAGCCCCACTAGCTGCCTCAGCCCCCCATTCTTCCCACAAGCACACAAACAACTCCACCTCGCCTAGGCGAGAACCCTTCCACAGCCCTTCAGGACACTGGCCATTGGCCCTGCAGCTCCTCACCCCCCCTCCTCCTACCAGGGTAATGGCATGTGTGTGCATGCATGCGCATGTGTATAGGCGTGCATCTCGCCAGGTGTGTCTGTCTCTACCTACGGGCATGGATCTGTGTTTTTGTGGGGTTGGTGTATATGTGACATGTCTCTGACATGTCAGTGTGTGCACATATGGACTTTGACATGTTACAGTGTGTGTGTTGTGTGTATGTGTGAAAGAGAGAGAGAGAGAGAGGGAGAAAGAGAGAGAGATTCAGGCAGGCCCCAGGGAGGTCTGGATCTGGAACTCGGGCAGATGTATCCTGCCAGGACCATCCTGAGACAACAGGAAGAGAGGATTGCATGGCTAGAGGCCCAAGGCTGTGTCCTGTCCCTCCCCCCAAGTCCCTGTCCTCCTGGGGCGCAGAGCCCACTATCCTGCCCCAGCCTCTTCCATCCCAATAGGTCCAGCTCCTCTGCCCTCCCCCATCTAGCTCCCGAGGCTCGGGGCTCCACCTTAGTTGGTTCTATACCACCCTAACCCCCCACACTACAAACATCCCTAGGAAGAGGCACCTGGGCAGTACCCTCCATATACCAAGATCTCATTTTGGCACCAAATGGAAAAGATGGCCAGGGCTGGAAAACCCTTATCAAGCATCTAGTCCCACTGTACAGACAGGGAAACTGAGGCCCATCAGCAGGAGTGCACTGCTCCCCTGAGATGCACTGCGACAGCTGCAAAGTCCCTCCTTAGCCTGAACCCAGGGCACTCCGGCCAGCAGCACAACCCTGGGGTCCTAAAGTGGGAAAATGGCCCTAGATTCTACTCCCAGGGGCTTCTCCATGTGAGCTCTGCCACCAGGTCCACTCTAGGTGTGTGCCTGGCCGTCCATGCACACCAGACCCCCACTGGCACCACCTGGGCTGCTGGCAAGGGGGTATCCACAGTGGGGAGGCCCTACTGGGGTTGTGAGGGGCCGGGAAGGAATCCAGGAGGGCAGCTCTGACCTGGGCCTCAAAGGACAAATGGGATTTCCCAGGAAACTGCATGAAGCCACACTAGGCAGACAACTGGCCTCTGAGCTACAGGAAAGGGGGCAGGGTGGGCTTAGGTTTGGACCTGTAGGGGATGAAAGAACTGGCTCTCCCGATGGATGGCATGTGTCACCAGAGGAGCCTCAGGCGCCAGCACCCCCTGCCCTGGGACCATGCATTCCCACAGTGATGCCTGCAGTGTTGCCCTGGGTACCCCGGAGAGGCTGAGGGTTCCCTCTCTGAGTGCACATCCAAGGCACACCTGCCCTTAGCTATGAAGCTGTAGCAGATGTCACAGATGTCAAAGGCTCCCCTTTGCTTCTAAGATAAAGCAGGGCAGGTCAGGCCTCTCCCTTCTGCCCACTTCCTCTCTCTTCAGCTTCACCTCCTGACATGTCTCCGAGAGGCGAGGACCTCTCATCGTCATCCCAGAGCGCCAGGCTTCTCATATCTGGAAGTCTTTCCCCCAGGACATTTGTGCTCCTTCCCTCCTAAGAAGCTGCATTGTTCGGGTCTAGCTCATGCTATGGAGCAGTCACTGTTGCTCAGACAGTGTCAGCCTCTGCGGCGCTCCTGCTGGCTGGCTGGCTGGCTGGCTGGTGGATCGGTGGGTGGGTGAGTGGATGAATGGGTGGGAGATGGTTGGATGTGTGGGTGCTGAGTGGATGGATGTGTGGGTGAGTGGATAGATGAGTGAATGGGGGATGGGGGTGGGAGAATGGATGGATGGGGAGTAGGGGAGTGGGAGAATGGATGGATGGGGGAGTAGGGGAGTGGGAGAATGGATGGATGGATGGGGGAGTAGAGGAGTGGGAGAATGGATGGATGGGGGAGTAGAGGAGTGGGAGAATGGATGGATGGGGAGTAGGGGAGTGGGAGAATGGATGGATGGGGAGTAGGGGAGTGGGAGAATGGATGGATGGGGGAATGGAGCTTGTAGAAGCTTCCTCCCTAGAGCCCACCGTACCACCAAAGGAAGTATCTGTCCCCTATACTAATGCTGTATTAAAGAAGCATCCACTGTGCATGTCAACCCTTTCTACCAGTCCAGGTGAGTCTCTTCTTTGTTGCCATATGCCCTGACTTGCCCCAGTGCCCCTCTGTCTTCACTCACTTCCACTGGAACCTGCGTGATCAGCAGACTTGCTGTAGACGTCACTGTCCTCCATCCTTCCTGCCTTAATGAAATGTGGCTTTCTGAGGACACCACCACCCGCCCCTGCAGTGGTTACTGCTCTCCACTGCACACACTTGACATTGGAGAACTTATGGCCACCTCCCCTTCTCCGAGGGCACCACCCACTGCCCACTAAAGCTGTCATCAGTGGTCTTGGTCACTTCCCCTCATTCTCTGCTCCTGGCTCCCCAGCCCCTCCGCCTCAGGCCATTCTCCATGACTTCAACATCCACACAGATGACTCACCAGCACCCTGGCCTTTTCGGGCCTCATTCCTACTGCCCTCCTCCCACTCACCCTGGGCCCCTCACTTCCCGGGCACACCCTGGACCCGGTCCTCACCAGAAACTGCACCATCACCAGTGCCTGTCTCCCTGAGCTTCTCTCCTGCCCCCTCTGCCTCCTGCTAAGTGCCCTTGTCCCACCACTGCTAAGTCCTTCAGCCACATCCAGGGACCTTCCCCACTATCACCACCTCCTGGCCTCACCTTGCCCTGGAACAGCATGGCCCATGGTCCATTACTGCCTCACCCTCCACCCCAGCCCTGTGGCACCATCGTGCCCCTTGGTGGCTCAGCACTTTGGACAAAGGTGGAGTCCCACACTGCAGCCCCCCTTTCTCTTCCAGTCGTCAGACCCTAACCCCTTAACCCGGCCCTGGGGCTGCAGCTCACGGTGGTTTTGCCCGTCCTCTGCCACCCTGCCCTCTCAGCATCTTCCCACATCCAAACCCCACCCCCTAGCCTGGTCCCTAAAACCCTCGGACACTCCCACTCCCAAGGCCAAGCCCTCCCTCATGTCAAGAATCCCAGCCCCCTGGACCTGACTCCTTTCTCTTCTGATCACCAATATTTCTCTAAGGAGTCATCTGTCTTATAAACAAAAATCAAACCTCCAATTCCTTGACCCTACACTCCCTTCCGGCCGCTGCCCCTTTCCCATTCCCCTTCATAGAAAGCTCTG